GAGTGGGAGCACTTGGGGCGCGGTGGGGAGCTCAGGGCGTGGTGGAGTCCAGGGCTCCATGCACCTAGGTTGACAGACCTCTCAGATGTCCAGGTGGGAATGCCCAGTGGGCAGTAGGGAAGCTGGGGCCAGGGATTAAATTTGAGAATTGGCGGTGTATGGCTGGCACATGAAGCCATGGGTCTGGGTGGGGTTACCCAGGGCGCTGGTGGAGACAGAGAGGAGACTGAGGCCCGAGGCCCAGGGTCCTGCAATATTGAGAGTTTAGGAAGAGGAGAGGGAGCTAGCAAGGGAGACTGCGAAGGAACTGACAGTCTGAGCATCCACCAACCTCCCCAGACAATTCGGCCTCTCCAGCAGTGGACTGTGTCCTCTGTCTGCTTGGGCTGTTGTTGCCAAGCAGGTACACGGTACATTTTCTCTCCTCCCCTCTGAATGGAAGCACTGCCGTTTCTAGATGGGGATTAGAACATCTGAAAATTCCCTGAAATTGTTGTCAAAATACTGTGTGTAATGTGCACTTATCTGGGTAGAGGGCACATAGTTTCCAACAGGTTCTAAAGGCAAAGCCACAGGATGGTTCTCAATAATTTCTAAATAGAAAAGAAACTGAAGTAATAAATTTTTAGACTTATTGAGCAACAGGAAGAGAACGATTCTTTCACCCAGATTTAAACTTACAGAAACTTGGCAAAGTAAAAATGAATAAAGAATCCAAGTACCTTACAAATATTCCCACTGGGGAAGGCACCAGTTAACCCCTGAAACAGAGAAATGCAAACCAGTCGATATGCAGAGGGCGGTTCCCACCACATATCTGTCCACGTCATTAGCTTCTGAGAGGAGAACGGGCTAATCGCCAACTAACTTGTACGAAGAACCAAGCCCTGTCAGTTATGAGATCTGAAATGGGATAAGAGCATGTGAGCAAAAATAATAGAATCATTCCTTACGGAGGAGATCACAGAGGGATCTTTAGACTGCATTCTATAGCTGCTGCCTTCTTCTTTACTATCACCACCAGCACTTGAACTGGAGGGGCAGACTATTGCCAGTTAGAGTTCCTCAGAAACAAAGCCCGACTTGTGTTTCGGATTTCCACTCGGCTTGTCTGCATTCACGCATTTAAGACTGCGAAAGAGACAAAAATGATGGGAGATATTTTTAGAATCAGATTCAACACCAATATGTGCTTTCCTGTTGGGAAGTGCTCTTGATTAAGCCAAGTGTACTTGTATTATTTTCTTCCCACTGCAGGGCAGAGAGGATGCTTATAGTTCTTTTGTGTATGAAGACATCACGATTTCAGTCATAGTAGAGAGCCCGTTTCAAAATGGCCCTTCCTCTCAGAACGCAGGGAAACTTTATCTTTCAGGTTCCCTATCAGAGAAAAGAAATGAATCTAGTGCACAAAAGGCAACCAGAAAGTTTAAGTCACTTCAACCATGTGATTTTAGAAGAAATGAGGTTGGTCGAGCTTGGGAAAACCCTTCTTTCTCAGTCTCGGAAAGAACATGGTGTTGTGTGAGCACCCTAGCTGGACCCCAGTGGGACACTTGAGTGGACACGGTGGCGCTGGAGAACACCGACTGCCCTAGTTACCTCTGTCTGACTCAGACGCTGCTGACCTCCGAGCTACAATGCTGAGATCCTTCCGGGGCCTGAATATTTTAGTAGACACGAATTGACTTGGACAAATTGGAACTTGGTCAAAGTCAGTTTTATTTTGCTGAAAGCAAAGACTCTGTAGATCTGAAATGTCACATTTTGGACAAACTTTGATCAACAGGTACTTTTCTAGAAAAGGGCAGCTTTCATGGAGGGAATTGTTTAAAAACATGTGAGGTTTTCTGACTCCATTTTAAATCCTATCAGAGTAGACAATTATATTTAGAAAAATGTTCGTGGGGTACTTTTCCAGGTACATTACTTCTTTAAAATAAGATCAGTCTTGGAGCTTCCCAGCTTTTGCTTGCAAAGGCTAGTGATAAACATCTCAAAATAGCCAAAAGAAGTATGAAATGCTTTGGATGCTGTAACAGACTTAAATTACTTTGTTTTAGTGTCTCTAAATTAGCACTCTGAGATGTCCCACAACCTACACTAAAACTTCTCTAGATGTCTCATGTAGGTAAACCCCAGAAGGACTTAAGGGTTGGTGTGTTTAAGAAATCTTCCTTGTTGAAAATACCTTCCAAGCACGCAACATGCCACAGTTTTGGGACTTCATGTTTCTGACTGGCGTTTCTCAGGTACTGTGGCAGTGGATGCCAGCCTGTGGAGGAGAGCGTGCTGTGCCCACAGGGGTGACTTCCAGAGGGCCAGGGGCTGTGCAGGTCCTGGTGTCTTTCTCACCTGGGCCTGTGTTATTGCCACAACCCACACCTGTGGGAGACCAGAGACACCCCCTCACCCACCCACTCCCACTCCTGCCTCTGGTCCCTGAGGGTCTCATCAGACATGGTTAGAGCCAGGCCCTCCCCAGGGACCACACAGGGACGAAGCAGCTGCTCGCCGCAGGCATTAGGCTAGTGGCTTCCACGGGAACATGCTCTCACGCGCCCATGTATCTCGCTGGGGACCTGCTGAGCCCTTTACAAACATGCATTCATGTGATGCTTGCAACAAACCCACAAGGTAGACATTATTGAGCCCATTTTTACAGGAGACATTTGGGTTTTAGAGAGTTTATATAACTTGCCCAAGGTTACACGGCAAACACTCAGTGGTGGTTTGAAAGGACTTCAAGCCCAGACCTGCTGGGTTCCCACTTCTGTGCCATAACCACTGTGTCACCGCGGCTATCATTGCGTCATTGCAGCGACCCTAGGAAGCAGAGGCTATCCCGCAGGTGAGGAAGTTCAGTGGCCAGCTCCAGGCTGTAAAGCCCCTAAGTAACAGGCCCACTGTTCCCACCGGGTCCTCTGACTGCCGTCCAGCGTTCTTTCGGTGCCTCCCTTAACTAACGGCGACATCTGAGCGGTGTCCTCCAGTAAGTATAACGCACTCACAGCAAACAGAGAAACAAAACCCTGTCTTATACACTGGTACTCATCATTTTCCACTTTTCATCATTGCATTCCTTTAGATATCTTTGAAAGGAAGTTTCAATGTATAAATGTAGCAGGAGAAAGAAGCCGCTGTCTCACTCAGAGGCCTGAAACCTGCTGACATTTCCCCCTTCTCGGCTGAGTTAATCAGAAGTTATTTGGGAGGAGTGGAAGGCAGATCTGGGTAGGCTGACAGTCAGAGAAAGCAGCTGTTCCTCATTCTATACTAGTAAAACAACGAGGATGTGGGCTTTGGGGTTTTGTTTTGCTTTTTAATCTCCAGAAAACATGGCATTATCTATCTAGTTATTTTGGGTTTTTGCAAAATTATCTCCCTTTTACAAAGAACTCACAATTGCCATGTAGGAAATGCCATATTGTCTGAGGAGTTTTCAAATATATATTGCTCTGCCGGGGTAGAAACTAGTCATCCTTCATATGTTGTTTCTCTTTGAAATAAAAGCTTGACGGGTATCAGAAACTACACCAGGACTTTACTCCAATGGTTACGACTTTCCTGCAGGTGGAGGTCATCTTCGCTTTACAGCCCAGGAAACCTGAGGCTCAGAGAGGTTGAATAACTCGCCCAGGGCAGCATAGCTAATAAGTCACAGAGCTGGGAAATGAAGCCTGATGTTTTAACTCCAAGCCAAAGTTAGGGCCTTGGTTAAGCAGCCGTGTCTTCCTGCTCCTCCACCAGGCAGTACTCACGACCGTGATGGGGAGGGAGAGGCCAGGCCTGCTCTGTGTGTCCGAACAGAGCCAGGTAGGAGCCATTCCAGTATAAACTTTTGAAGGTGCCAACTAGTCATGGTCTTTCTAATTAATAATATCATGGACTCGGGTGTCCCCTCCAATCGTATCACGAAAGCCAGGACATCAGCTGAGGGATGCAACTAGACATTAATAATTTGTAGAAAAAGCTGCCTTAATCTGTCGATGTCTATTTCTAGCAATGTCTTCATCAAATATTATACGTGAGAGCCAATTTGTCTTGCCCAGTCATGCATCTCCCTTTACCCTAGAAAGTGCTTACAGAAAGGAGGTGGTAGCTACTCGCAGGCTAGATTTCATATGCTGAGCCAGTAACTCAGGGAGATGAACAATGAACTGGTTTTTGAAATCGGTGTTTGCCTTTGGAAACTTGTGCCTTAGATAATTAGTGATAACAATCTCGAGGCCAACACTCAGTGCATGGAGGAACACATTTCATTTCTTCACTTTTATGCAGAAATTACACTTGCTACAGAAATGAGATACTCTAGGCTATGCATTTCTGGGCCGTTGGAGCATTTCTCAGGCGTGCAGAGTCAGTGTTCCGTCTTTACGAAGTTTTCTGGGCTGAGTTTCAAATGCCCGGAGCTCCCCGTCGGACAAGCCTGAAAAGCCATTGTCCAAGGCTGATCGTGTTACAGTTGGTCTTCTCCTCAGGTGCCTTTTTCTTTTTTAGTTGAATGGAAAAGTGTGTTTTTTGTCTTTTTTTTGGTCTCACTAAAATTCCAACCTACTGCCATAAGACCCACTGAATGGTGCTAGGAACTCATCCTACTAGTGGGAGCAAGAGAAAAAGGAGAAGATTAGCCAAGGAAAATTTTTGATTTGTTTCAAGGGGTAATCATTCAGATGCATATAAGTCATTTTCGGAAATGATTAAAAGCCTGAACAAAGTGCTGGGTGTTATTTTGTCAGTAACGCCTCAGGTCCTGAGATGCAATGTCGTAAGATGGAGTGACAAGGATTCAAGATGGCTTTTGTGTTTTTACCATGTCTGCAAAGTTACATTTCACACCCAAACTCAGACCCTCTCCTCTCCCCAGGCTTCCCCCACCTGCACCCAAATATAAACTGAGAAGCCCCTGAAACCCAGATCGCTAGTAGGCTAGAAGCATTAATTACGATTGTAGCTGATGTTATCACTGACTGTAAAAATTTCCTGCTGTAATTGGAATATAGATTCAACAGTTTTATTGAATGTCAAAGCACACAGCTGCTAGAGAGTCACTGCTGAACTGATGCATCTCTTCTCTTCCATGAAAAACACCTATTAAGCAGTCAGCATAAACTCTTCCCTTACAGCCTCTGACATCACCCTCAGGGCAGGCAGACACAGAACAGCAATTGCTGAATTGCGTATGAAAATTATAGTTTTATTGTCTATACAACTGAAGGTTTAACTCGGACTCCTGCTTCTGTCAGAGCTGGATAAAGAAGCAATTCTTCTCGTAGAACAAATAAGCACAGTACACTATTGTAATCTAAGAAACAGGCACTATTTATGTATTGGAAAGCCTTGTTCTCAATAGGGCTAACAGTCCAATGGCCCATGAGCCACTATTTTAGCAGCTGTAGAAAAGAAAGCCGTAGAAGTCACAAGGAATGAGATGCTAAAAGCAGCAGAGACAGTTGATCACAACGCCAAGGGAAGCCTTCCTCACATCCCACCTGCTCCCACCGTTAGTTTAGCAAGCACGACTCGTAGGTTGGGACCATGTACTTAATGTTGATGAAGGCGTCTTCTCCTCCATAGCGCTCGAAGGCCTCCAGCGTCTCCTGGATCAAGTCACCGATGTTCTCCCTCTTCTGCTGGCTGTAGTCGATGCCGTCTCCGGAGTTAACTGGTGCATGCAAACACATAAAGAGGCCAGTTATTTCTTTGCACTTTCCAGAAAAAGTCCTACACATCAGGCTAGGCATTTTCTCTGAATGCTTGTTAGGAGACACAAACATTCAACATTTCTACATGATTTAAAGAGTGGTGATGGTGACAGCTGTATAAAAATACCATGTCCCAGATTGGAGCTGATGAAAATTAATCTAAAATAAAGAAATGACAGAGTAAATGAAAGTGAGCTAGCCACAGGTACCAGACGGGTTATAAGTCAGGGACTCTCTTTCTCCATCTGACCACTGCGTACAAAGTGTTTTCTTGGGGCTTGAGTTTTCCAAAGTCACAGCATGACATATTTAGAAGGAATGGCCTGTCGCCAGATCAGGTTGTTAGGCCTGTGTGCTCTGAACTGGGACTCACTTTGGAAGCAGAGGCCTAGCCCACCCCTGCATCCTCACTGCTTTTGCATGCACGGCAACCTCTAGTGATCCAAGTGTTCAGTTACCTGAAATTATTGTGGTCATTCCAGATGCAGGTGGGACAGGAGGAAACTGCTTTTCCTGCCACGGCTGCTCCTGAATGACCACTGAATGTTTGGATGACAGTTATTAGGGTTTCACAGGGAGTTTGTGCCGCTGCTAGTTTTGGAATCTCCAAGTCCAGGGTGGTGGGTCAGCCACAGTGGAGTGCCTGGTGTTCCCAACTGAAGCGCAGCCCCCCAGAGCTTAGAAGTGACAGCTACAGCTGGCTCTCACATACTACGAGGAAAGGGACTCCTAGGGGTGGCCTTTGAAGGCCCTGAGGTCTTACATCCAAGATCCTCTACTCTGTGGCACAAACTCAATCTCAAATCATTTAGATAAGAGATATCTGATACCCCCAAATGTGAGATGTCTGACGAATTACCAAGGGTGTAGGAATCTGTCAAGAATGGAGCGAGCCCCTTTGCTTCAATCCAGACTATAGAAATTCCACAGCGTTTTTCTCTAATGATAGTCATTATATGCTTTCTGTTGCATTCCACTCACAGCTTTCCAAGGGCTACAATGGCACTTAGTCTCCCAATAAGCACGTCATTATTGTGCCTCTGCAAAGCGGCTAGCGTTACCTCTGTCTTATCTATGACGGAAGGAAAGTGCAACGAGGTGCCCTGCGAGGGGCCCAGTAGGAAGAGAATGAGAGCTCAGCCCACAGGAGCTGCAGGGCAGGGCCCCCCAGTGCAACTTAAAATGTGGTTTCACCAGAGAAAGGATTTATTTCATTCATAGTTCAAATGTAGCCCCAAATTGTTTATCTTGTTTGAATGTGAAAATAGTTGAGGGAAAAATGGTATTTCAAACCTTTTATCCTCAGTTATTTGGGACACTTTAAAAAGATTGGGTAATGGTTCAGACCAGAATAAATGTAACAATTACAACATTACACAGCATAGATAAGTAGTTCTTTTGCTTGATTTTTCCAGAAACTTGTTAGATAAATATCACTGTCTTCTACAATACAGAGAAAATGAATTGCTATCCTGATTAGTTTCCTTTGCTGGGGGTGAAGGTGGCAGAAATATTACTAATTTTCAGACAGAGAAACAGATTGTGAGTCACAACTGTTGTGAAAAAATTGCATATCATTTTTCATAACAGATGAACTTAAAATGGTTCAGAAGCCATTGCAATTAGGTGGGCTTTTTCTTTCTCATAGTGGATGCCTCTCTGCTATCACATGGAAACCTAGATTTAAGTTAATTTAAAGTTTGATTTACAGAGTATTTGATCATCCAAAATATCCAAATATATAGAACATTTGTATAAAACATATATAGAGAGGGAAAGAATATGTAGAACTAACAAGAGATAAGATTTTTGAACAAAAGTGTTCTTGCCCTATTGTCTTTGAGCAAAACAACGTAGATGAACTTTTCTTTCTTTTCTTTTTTTTTTTTTTTGACACAGAGTCTCATTCTGTCACCAGGCTAGAGTACAGTGGCATCAGCCTAGCTCACAGCAACCTCAAACTCCTGGGCTCAAGCGATCCTCCTGCCTCAGCTTCCCAAGTAGCTGGATCTACAGGCGTGCGCCACCATGCCCGGCTAATTTTTTCTATTTTTAGTAGAGACCGGGTCTCCCTCTTGCTCAGGCTGGTCTCCTGACCTGAAGGGGTCCTCCCGCCTCGGCCTCCCAGAGTGCTAGGATTACAGGAATGAGCCAAAGATAAACTTTTCAAAGACAGAAATGTAAACAAATACACATTAAAGTAAACAGACTTTCTGTTCTGTTTTCGAGATTCACGTGCAGTCTGATAAGCAAGGGTGCACTCAGGAACAGGTGCACGGGGAGGACCACGGGCTCCACTTCCGGGAAGTCTCCAAGATGGGGAGGTCTTTGAGTTGAGTTAGAGAGGAAGAGGAGGACGCTTGAGCTTGGGAGAAGGAGTTGTTCATATTAGTTACCTGTGCGAAGAAAAGATGTTAAGGAAGAAAGTCCAAAGGGTGGCAGGACAAAAATCAGCAAGGAGTCAGACAGAGGGGCAGGCGGGAGAACACAGCGTGACAAGGCACGTCCATAACACAGAACGTGTCTATTTGGAACAACTTCGGCTTCCTGGGATTCCAGTCAAAGCAGGTGGGATGTCCCATCGATGTCTGGCTATCTTTGTGCGTCTCTTCCCCCCAGATAACACTGCTGATAAACTCCTCCTGGTCATGGAAGAGGTGGCCGTAGGGCAAATGTGCCATGACCTGTGTTGCACAGGACGGCCGAGCCCCTACGGCAACCCCCTGGGGGGCACGTGGAAAATATAATTGGCGATGACGTTGAGCTGTGACAGCCTTGATCAAGTTCCTTATGGACAAAGATACATATATTAATCACTCATAAATGCTGCTTTTTGTTGGCATATTAGTCAAAAGGTCAAGAACTGAATAGGCCACGGGACAGACATATTTTCCTGCTGGAGGCAGAGGGGGTTTGGAAAGTCTGCACACAATGGAAAGCTTAACACGCCCTGTTTTTTCCACTGCCTTCCAGAAAGCAACAATGACAAGCGACACTGTATTTCATATTCTTACTTTTTAGAAAATATTTAACTGTAGGAGTAAGTAAACTATGTAGCTTTCTTGTTTTTCAACAGTGTATAAACCCAAATGATTAAAGAACAGAAGTTCCTTTTTCAAAAAGTGAGTTGGAGTTGGAATATTTTGTGTTTGCAGAATATGTATCATTTGGGCATTAAAAAGGCCAGAAAAGGAACACTCTCTTACTTTGCATGCCGTAATGATGACATTGCACTGTTTAGTGTCGAACTATGTTAAGAGGCACATGAGTAATGTGGTCTCCATTTCAAAACTGCTGTATTGTCACTTTCTCTGAGTACCTGAAATTGAGGTGATTAGTTGGAGCTCACCATTTCAAATACGTATGATACGATGCTGTTGAAAAATGTTTGTGAGAATAGGATGCTTAAAAATCCCACATGGTTGTTTACAAGTGTCAATTCTCATTGGTAAGATGACACTTCAATTTAGGAAGCTAGGAGTGTATTTTATGTCCACCAGCTAGAAATGTACATTGATGACGGAAAAGGTATGTTTTATTTATAACCAAACAGACAGAACTATAGCAATGGTTTAAACCAAACTTCGTGCTTCTAGAAGGATAATATGCAAGCAGAGCAGAACAAGGGATTTAGTTCCTGTTCTCAGACAGTCTTACATTCAGGAGACGTGCAACTACTGCCTAAAAGTTGTTCCTGGTCAAGAATTATTTTAAGTGTATTTATTACTCTAAGTGTTGAATTTTCTTTGATTATGTAAGCAATATGTTTAAGCATTAAAAATGTGCACACTCTTTTTCTATCTAAACCTTTTTCAACTGTCCTAACCTGGATGCCTTCTCTATCTAGGTGCCATTTTGGTCAAACGAGTGGGTTGTATATGTGCATCCCAGTCTCTTGTCTAGCGATGGCATCCTCCCGGTGCAGGAACTCAGATTGTGACTGTGAAGTGACTATCACACGCTTTGTCACCGATGGCCACTGGTAAGGAGAGTTACACACGACACATTTACATTTCACACAGATATCTGCCACTCAGTGGACCTGGACCAGCGGCAGACTTGGATCACGTAGGATTTTGATGAAGTATTTTCTCACCATGGTTTCAATTTCTAGACTGTGTGGGGAAGTCTTTCTTTTTCTTTCTTTAGTTACCATTATTGCAGAAAAAAAGAAAAATAAAAAACATCAAAGGCAAAGGAAGCAAAGCTAGAAAGGAAGGACAGTTTTGGTGGCCAGAGCAAGGTCTTCCCAAGTCAGTGCTGGGGTCTGCTTCTCTGTGCCAAAGATCGTCCTCAGTGCCGGCCACAGCTGCAGCTGTGATTGCAGGATGTTCTCTCTGCAGACTGAGCACTCTACTAGGCACTACAGCAAAATGCAATACGAGAAAAAAAGGCTCTTGCCTTTCGAGAGCTTACTAGCTAGTTGAGGAAGCCCAGCTAGCTTCCTTCCATATAAAATATAATGTTCGCTTGTTCCCACCATGGAAAAAATTGCAGGCTCAAGTCCCCTACGCCTTACAGAGCCTCACCTGCTATGTGTCTCCCTTGGTGCTTTGCTGGCCACTGAGACTTGCGTCTTGAGAGAATTCTGGTGCATTTGTTTTAGCCAGATGCTAGGGTTTCTTGTCTCAGAGACATGAAAAGCAGTAAGTGAATGTGTGCATGGCCACTGGGAGGCTCAAGGAGAGTTTGATTCAAATCTGAATTTTTCTCGCTCTTACACTTTTTGGGAAAATACTCTTAAGTAGGAAATGCATAGACATTCTTATATGAAGAGCAACACGCAAAGGAGTTATTTGGAAATGAAAACCTTATTCAAGGCATCAGAAAAATAAAACAAATAAATGCCTGCTCCAGATTGCTTACTCAGTGTGCCTGAAGTGTTCTGCATTCAATACCAAAGAGATGAAATCATTTCTGAAACCTATCTATACTTTCTGGTAATGACTAAGAAAATAAA